TCTCATTCTCTCTCTCAAATAAATAAATAAAATCTTTAAAAAAAAAAAAAGAATGTCAGCCTTTCAAGCAGGTACTTTGTAAATTTTACAGATGTAATTACTGAAGAAAGAATTTGAGAGGAGTAGAAGAGGTTGGTAAAAAGTTTTGTGTCTAGCATTCAAGTCCTCAAAGAAGTCTGCTGATTAAACTTTTCATCTTTCTCTTCAAGATTCTTCACAGTACAGGGCTGGAGTTCCAACATCAAGTCGAGGAAGCCAAGGATTTAGATCAGTTGATTAAGATTCATTACAGATACTTGTCAACCATCCATGATCGATGTTTGCTGAGAGAAAAGGTATGTGAGATGTCATCTGCAGATTTGGCCACTGAAGCAGGAGTGAAGCTGGCCAAGGGAGGTTGTTTCTCTACTTCTAGATTTTATACTTACTAAGCAAAATATTCTATAGGGAATGACCAAATCAAATAAAGTTACAAATTTGTGCCATATTACTAGAAATTATATCTAAGAGAAATAGATGAGAACTATATTATGATCGTCTGCACCCTGTACTGCACTGGGATTCAATTGGAAAATTATGTCTGCAGTTGTGGAATAAGAGTGCTTTAGTCAGGAAGTGCATCCAGCTTAGTGAGAATATATGGGATTAAGTCAATTTACAGCCATTGGATTACTTCCTCCCTTTTGTTGGTGAATTCAAATAACCATCCTAGGAAATGGTGACTTGCTCTGTTGGTCAGACTTTGCTGCTAATACTCCCTATATCACAGTGCATTAGATGGGTGGCCTGATTCCAAGTGCCCTTATTCACAGCCTAGCACCTTTCCATATTATATTGACGGCTGTCATTGCATTGATGAACTTTTTTGTGACTCAGGTAGATTAAATAAAAGTGTTGGTGTCAGTGTCCAAACATAGTTACAGAGCCTGTATTCTGTCTGTGGCTTTAATCTCCAGGTCAGTTTTGTGAAAGAAGCCATCATGAAGGTATTGAATTTGGCTCTCATGTTTGCAGATGGTTGGCAAGCAGGTCTGGGGGCATGGCAGTAAGTATGTAGCTTGTGGAACCTCTGCATTGTGACCATTTCAGCTTCCCTTTTAAAACTGGCTTTATGAATGACTGCTTTTCTGTGAGGGCTCACTGAAGAGTGGGGGGCACAAACTTTCAGCTCTGGGCTAGAGAGTGGGGCGCCGCCATTTTCATCCTCCCCCCCACTCCCCCATTGGTACTGAAAGCCATCAGGGAGCAAAACAGCACCACAAAGTGGAATCCAGAGCCACTAACACTGAGCTTAGCCCCCTGACAAGGAAGGTGCAATTTCACCACCACAAGGGCACCAGACACTCAGCGCAACAGGCCCCTCCCCCAGAAGACCAGCAGGAACAACCAATGAGCACCAAATTTACCTATCATACAGAACTGCAAAACTTGGGCTCTTGGGGAAAACAGTATATAGCATTTGCGGTTGTTTTATTATTCTTTAGT